CGTTGTTCAGGGGCACGGCTGGAGAGAAGTCGTCGTTCCACAAATCAGGAAGAGACGGGCGGCCAGGGGCCGACCAGTCGTCGGCGGGTTTGGGACCGGGGCTGTGCAGGGGCGAGGGTCACGGCCGGTGTGCAGCCACCGGGGCCAATCGGCGCAGATTGGTCACCGCCGCCAGGTCGTGTCGATAATTACCGACTAATTCCACGCTCCCTTTTTACTGCATGCTGCGCGGACCACTTTCGCGTGCGCGAAGTGTTTTAACGAGCCGACGTGTCCGTGCAGCTCCAGGCGGTCCGCGAACACCTGACGGCCGGCGCAGGCCGTCTCACTGGCCTCCACGCCAGCGGGTCGGGGCCGCAGTGGGTCACCGGCTCAACGTAGTTGCTGAGAAGACCGAGCTCCCCTCGGTTCTCGGGTCAGGCTAAATTTCGACTGAAGAGGGAGAGGTATAAGTGTCGGTGTTTGAAGTCAATTGCTGAGTCCAGGGATGCCTGGGTCCTTACATATCATCCTCGGACGGTATTACCTCGTCACTGTAGTTCCGCAAGCGGCCGTTACTTCCTCAAGCTCAGCTTCAGAGAGTCCGGAGTGTTGCCAGTGCTGGGATCGAGCTTCGCTTAAGGGGTTTGGGTCGGCATCAGCCCTCGGGCGAAGTTCGGCTGGAGAAGGACTGGACCGCCGTCGGTTCCTAAGCGGGCTCGACTGGGACTTGGCCGACGTCGGTTCCTGAGTCCTTGGACGCAGCTCAGCTGGGAGGGGTCGGGGCCGCGGCAGAGATCTGACCGGACCTCGCTCGTGCCGAGGTCGCTTCTTACCGCCGCCGGTCGCCTTGAGTCGGCAGCGGCTGTTTTTGCCGCCGGGGTGGGGGCAGGGGTCCCGGTAACCCCAGCCACAGCGCGAGGTCACCCTGGACAGGCAGAGAGGCCGGAAGTTGGGCTCGGCTCGGCTGCGCTCGCAACCAGGTTAATGCCATCGCCCCGCTCTTTGTGTGCAGGAGCGGGCAAAAACAGTGCTGATTGATATACTATGCGCCCGACAGGAAACGGCTGTTGCACTGAATGCCGGCGAGACCAGGCATTCGTCCGCACCTAGGCGGCCGCTGAATAGCCGGGCGCGATCAGAAATCAACACCGAATCAGAAGAAATGATAGGGGTCAGGCTTTATCGACCGTCGGAGTGCTCATGAAGGGTCGTTGGCCTTTTTTGTGCTGTATGACTGGTGCAAAGGAATGGCTCCAAAACGGCACCTTACGGTCCGGAGGAAGAAAGGTGTCGGCGTTTAAACGAAATGCCCCATGCCGACGTCACAAATCTCCGCGTGAAGCGTGGCGTGAAACGAGCTCTGCAGTTAGTGGGCGGCGCGGACTGCCGTCGTGTGCCTCCCGATGGCGAAAGCCTGTCGAGTGCGTGACGACCCCCGCCGAGCGGTGTGTGGCTTACTCTGAGCGGCCGGCCGACGCCGTCCCAGCCCCAGCGACGCGGTGCTCTCTCAATTACCATCGGCTGTGATGTAGCCGCTACCCGCTGAGGCAAATGGTGAACCTTGTGACCACGCCGGGAGATGGCATGCCGGCAGTGTATGGCTCTTGTCCGGAAATCCCACGTGAAGGAGGTGGGTGATGGCAGTACGATACGGCTGGTCTGGCTGGCCAAGTATGGCCCTGTGCAGCCGGTGCTGCCAGCTGGGAGCGCCATCTGGCGTCATCTGTCCGCTGCTAACGACTGCCGGCAATCTCTTCATTTCAGCCGCTGCCCGTGGACCATGCTGGCCGATAAGGTGCCAATTGACGGAACGCCCCAGGCCGACGCACCTGCCGTGTTGCACAAGTCGGGCCCAGTCCGAGACACGACCGTCCACGATCGCGAGGGGCGAGAGTTCATCTAGGGGCCGCTGCCGGCACGCGCCGGGGAGGGGCCCGCTGGCGGCGGCCGGCGCGGCCAGACAGGTGTGGCCGTTTTTGCGGGCGCGGCACGTCGGCCACTCGTGGCCGTTGGACAGTGGAGTGGCGTCTGTGTGCCGCTGACCGTTGGGCGCTGGTCTTCTTTGTGGCCCTCTGCGGCACGTCCGCAGTCCCTGCCCGCCGTAAGGCAGGTGGGCGGGCCCACGCTGCGGCGGCAGTGCCCCGCCGTCCGGCCTGCCCGGCCGGCGGTGATCCCAGCCGAGCCGATGGTATCGCAGCCTCCTCGGATGTCGAACGACGTCGTCATTAGCTGGCGCGCCCCCCTCCGCTGCACGCTTCTCCTGCTGTCCGGGTAACGAGCGGCGGCGAACCTGACCCCGCTTGACCCCGCCGGCAGTCACAATCAGCCGTCGCTCTTTACGGTCCCGCCGCCTGGTCCAGCCGGGTCGGATCTCTCCGCTCTCTGAGCGCCGTCCGCCGGCGCCGAGCAGCGTCTTTCAAACGCCGTCGCCTTGTGTAAACACGGCACACCAATGGCATGATATCCGCACGGGAGGAGGAGGCGGGCGTCTGTGCAGCTTTCTCCCGGCCGGCGGAATGGATCCAAGCCGTGTCGAGCTGGCGGAGACCGATCTCAGCGTGCCGGAGACCCGGCGCGGAGACGCCGCCGCCGACAGCCGGCGGGGAGGCGCAGGATGGCGCGCGGGAGCCGCGACAGGTGCTGGCAGGCGGCGGCCGATCCGCGGCGATAGAGCGCGACGTGGCGGCGCGGGCTCTGTGGACAGGGCCGGGCGTTACTCACTGTCCGCCGGCGCGGTGTCCGGACCACGACAGGCGCCGTCAGGCCGAGCCGATCTGTCGAGGCTGGTCTGGTGTTGACCGCGCAGTGTCTGTCGGAGGTGTCGGGATTCACCCGCTGCGCACTGCGCGTTACGCAACGCAGCCGCCGTCCCATAAAGTTTGTTGGATGCAAACAGTTGACTCGGAGCGGAGTGCAGAGGTAAACAGTGGGCCTTTCCTCAGTGGGGTATGGGGGGGGGGGTTAAGTGCAGAAGAGTGGAGGGCGGTTAACACTGCAAGACAGCGTAAAGAGAGTCGCGCGTAGATCACTCATATTTCGAGACAGAAACATGCATAGCAAGGACAGTTGACCAAGATGCTACTACAATCCAAAAGAAGGACATACAAACCGTTTTTTTAATGTAACGCCCTTCCGTTGTCTTTCGTGACTGCCGGCCATCCGCTCTCTACGTTACGTCACCTTCAATTTAGGATGATTTGAACTGGACCGCACATGAATGCATGCACGGCATGGGTAGCAGGTCTGTCTGAACGTATGCGGCTGTTTTCCGAACCCGGAGAGCCCAGAGGAGCGTGACAGGACGAGGCAACACCGGCCGTCACGTCCGCTCGAGCTCCATACCTGTGACGGCGTGAGCGTGTGATGCGTGTGCGTGCGACAATGCGGCGCGTGATGCGCGTACATGAGGGCTCGTCGCTTTGTTTGAGGCGCGGTCAGCGCGGCTGGGTCTGCAGCCGTCGCCGTGCGCCCACCGCGGTCCGCCAGCCGAGGTCCGGCGCTGCTCGCAAGGGCAGCTCACGTTGTCCACTGACTCACGTTGTCAGACTCTCCGACTGTCGGACAGTGCTGGGCCACGGTCAGCGTGCCTTAACAGGAAGCGCGGGGCTCGGTCAGCGTGCCTCAGCAGGGAGCGCGGGGTTCGGTCAGCGTGCCTCAGCAGGGAGCGCGGGGCTCGGTCGGTGTGCCTTGGCAGGGAGCGCGGGGCTCGGTCAGCGTGTCTTAACAGGGAGCGCGGTGCGGTGGGTGTCGGATGAGGCCTCCTCTCCCCTGTGCGCTCCCCCCCCCCCCCCGGCGTCTGGCATTGCTCCTGCCGAGCGGCACGGTTGCCCTTCATCGCGCTCTCCTCCCCTCCGCCGTTGTCCGAACAGGCGGCGACCGTGGGTGTCGGGTTCAGCTGCGGCCGTCGCCAGACCCCAGCGCCTCTGCATGCCCGTTCTGTGGAACGACGCCCGCACGAGCACGCCTAAACGTTCCCCAGGGGGTGACGTTAAGATTGCTATCGCGAGAGGTGCCACCAGCTGCCGGCTGATGATTAGAGGCTGCGCCGCATCAGAAAGTGGCCAGAGGGAGCCCGCATTACGCATGACCTGACTGGCCGGCCGCGGCCTGTCGGCTGTCCGACCCGGGCCGCCGGCCGGCCGCGGCTGTCGGCTGTCCGCCCGAGCTGCCGGCCGGCCGCGGCCTGTCGGCTGTCCGCCCGAGCCGCCGGCCGGCTGCGGCCTGTCGGCTGTCCGCCCAAGCTGCCGGCCGACCGCGGCCTGTCGGCTGCCTGCCCGAGCCGCCGGCCCGGCTGCGGCCTGTCGACTGCCTGCCCCGAGCTGCCGGCCGACCGCGGCCTGTCGCTGTCCGCCCAAGCTGCCGGCCGGCCCGGCCTGTTCGCTGCCCGCCCCCGAGCCGCCGGCCGGCTGCGGCCTGTCGTCTGTCCGCCCAAGCTGCCGGCCGGCCGCGCCTGTCGGTGCCCGCCCCGGGCCGTCGGCTGGCTGCGGCCTGTCTGTCGGCTGTCCGCCCGAAGCGGCCGGCCGGCCGCGGCCTGTCGGCTGGCCCGCCCCGGAGGCTGCTGCGGCCTGCGGTGGCCCCCAAGCTGCCGGCGGCCGCGGCCTGTCGGCTGTCCGCCCGAGCCTGCCGGCTGGCTGCGGCCTGTCGGTGGCCCGCCCCGGGCCGCCGGCCGGCCGCGGCCTGTCGGCTGTCCGCCCGAGCCGCCGGCCGGCCGCGGCCTGTCGGCCTGTCCGCCGAGCGCTGGCCGGACCGCGGCCTGTCGGCTGTCCGCCCGAGCTGCCGGCTGGCTGCGGCCTGTCGGCTGTCCGCCCGAGCTGCCGGCCGGCCGCGGCCTGTCGGCTGCCCGCCCGAGCTGCCGGCCGGCCGCGGCCTGTCGGCTGTCCGCCCAAGCTGCCGGCCGGCCGCGGCCTGTCGGCTGCCCGCCCCGAGCCGCCGGCTGGCTGCGGCCTGTCGGCTGCCCGCCCCGGGCCGCCGGCCGGCCGCGGCAGACCGCGGTGCTCAGAGTCGTCACTTGCCCCCAGGTGTGCGGCCACCGCTGGATGAATCAGCTGTCCAAGAGCAATCATTATGGCAACGGCGTCTGCTACTGGATGGAGGCGGGCGCCAACGATTATAATGCCAGCAAGGTGGTGCCTCTCGTCGAGAGCAGTGAGTGAGCGCGCGCGCTAGCTGTTTCTAACAGGGCAGCGTGCTTATCGCAGTGTTGCTGTTGGAATGTTGTTTAACACACGAGCTACATCAATTTTGCGAGGATTACGGTATTGACGAGTTGACGGACATGCTCATTTCAAAGTCGTACCAATAAAACTGATGTCACCATGCCTGGACGGCGCTGACTCAGCGCCTGCGAAGGTGTTTACCGCTAATGGCGGCGTTTCTGGCGGCAGCAGTGCGTCATTGGCAGTCTGGTCTGTGACGAGCAGTGTGGCCCTGTGACGAGCGTGCCGGGAAGACGCGGGCCGCCGCCGCCAGAGGCCGCAGCTGCCAGTCGGGATGACCTTTGACCCTGACCCCCAGGCAAACAGATGCTGCGTACGAGGGGAGGCCAGGACGAACGCTTCCTGTACGCGTATGGAGAGGCAGGCATCTCGGTCCACTTTGCCAAGGTGGGGCCGGTGATGCATGCTACTTTGTCAGTTCAGGGGCGGTATACGTCGTTTAGTTTTAATTGCCCTGTCGGCGATAAATTAATGATTTTACGTCTTGCCCACACTTCTTGTGCCGTGAGACATAGAAAATATACTGCATGGCATTGCGCGCAACGTGCCTTTTCTGCCCTGCACCAGCGGCGGTATGCTACAGGAGCCTTGATATTCAGTTGTCGTAGCGTATAGGCTCACTCTGCAGGCGAAAGTAGTGCCAGTAAGCCATTGTTTACCCGGATAGCGTTTGCGCTCCACTAGCGCCCACCGGAAAGTCACTGAGCTCCACGAACACCCACCGGAAGGTCACTGACGACTGCGGCTGCCAGCCAGACCACCCACGTGGTGTTTGCGTTTTTGTGCGGCAGGGTTGCCTCATATCAGAGCGTTTCTCGGCACGTGCGTGAACTAGCCCCGCTTCTCCCGTGGACCGTTTGATTTGGTAATGTATCACCGTCGTTGCGTTGTTGCTGGTCGAAAACGCGGGCAATCAAAACCAAAGGCGCGTCTCATATGCATTACGGTTTAATACGCTGCGACTTGCTGTCACATGAAAACAAGGCTGACGCGTCCCCCCCCCCCCCCACACACACACACTGTATGTGCGCACGCAGCCCGTGCAGCTGCAGGCGCCTGACATGAGACGGCGCCTCCGGCAGAACGGCTCGGAGCTGCTGATGGGGGCGCCGGGTGTGTACAACTGGAAAGGCACCGTGGTGCGACTCTCTGGCGACACCTACATCAGCGTCGACTCGAACCAGCGGCGGCGGCGGCGGCGGCAGGCTCTCGACTCGCAGCCACTGAGCGTGTCACGCATCCCCAACCCGTACCTGACCGACGCCGTCAACGAGTACGACTACTTCGGTCAGTGTTCGGCGCCGCGCCGCTCCTCATGTCCCCTGGTAGAAGAGCAACTCTACACACTTGAGACCGCCATGGTCTGGCTTCTGTGGCAGGCTTCCCATTGCTGAATCGCTAATGCGGAGTCTGGCACATGCCTACTTCCTGACAACGTCTCTTCTGTCCCCTGAATCAACACCGGTGTGTGCTCAGGCGACAGACTCAGCATTGCGCTCATTGCAGGGCGCAATGGCACGGTGCACTGCTATGAGCTGCAGCATCGGCGGGGTATAGTCTTATGCCCGGCCGACGGACGTGTGATTTAGCCCGCTGTGTGTCGGGGCGCCGTGCTTTGATTGAGCTGTCGGGCCCGTGTGATGTGGCGTGGCAGGACGATTGTTATTCGATCGGTGGATAAGGGCGTGGCACTTGATTGCAGGCTACGCCGTTAGTTCCGGGGAGTTTCTAGGCGACGGCCGCACGTACTACGTGGCAGGTGCTCCACGTGCTGCCTTCGGATATGGAAAGGTGACAAAGACATCCTTGGGTCCGGGGCTCTTTAGCGTTCACTGAGCTGGCACGTAAGGCAGATATATATATATATATATATATATATATATATATATATATATATATATATATATATATACGTGTGTGCGTGTGTGTGCGTGCATGCATGCATGCCTGCGTGCATGCGTGCGTGCGTGCGTGCGTGCGTGTGTGTGTGTGTGTGTGTGTGTGTGTGTGTGTGTGTGCGTGCGTGCGTGCGTGCGTGCGTGCGTGCGTGCGTGCGTGTGGGCGTGGGCGAGCGTGCGTGCGTGTGTGCACATGTGCTTGCGCGTGTGGGGGGGGGGGGGGGGGGTAATAGCCCGCAATACCTATCTCGCCCAGCCTTTTCATTAACCTAAGGCCATTAACGTCTGGTATTTGCGTCTCTCGGTTATAATTATCACTACGATTGACCTAAGTCAAACCTAATGCCATGTTTTGACATCATGGACCTTCGCGTCAAATCCACGCGCCTCTACTGCTGCTCATCACGAGATGAGCCCCAAATGTTGGGTGGCGCGGCGAGTATTGTGATCGGGTCGGATCGGGGCTTCGCCACCGATCTGGACTCGCCGACATGACCACGCGTCGCCGCTGGCAGCAGCCCTCTGGCTGACCCACGCGACCCGGGCGCTCCGCCGCAGGTGTTCGTCTTCGACTTCCCGCCGAACGAGCTGGCCGGCTTGGCTGTGGTGTTGGAGCGGCGCGGCGACCAGGTGGGCGAGTACTTCGGCGGTGCTGTGCTCGCCGCCGACGTTACCGGTGACGGGCGGCCGGAGCTGATCGTGGGCGCACCACTGCACGCGGCGAGCGGCGGGCCCGGCGGCGCCGCGTCCGCCGGCCACGAGCACGGCCGCGTCTGCGTGTACCCGAACCTGGGCCGCGGCCGGGTCGGCGAGCAGCCGCTCGTGCTGACCGGAGACCGCGTCCACCGCGGCCGGTTCGGCTCGGCGCTGTCCAGCGTCGGTGACCTCGACCTGGACGGCTACAACGGTCAGTAAGAGGCGAGGGAGGGGCTGTGGGAGGACAAGGTTAAGGGGCAAGTGCTGTTGAGGTCTGTATACGTCCAAAACAGGCACAGTCTTATTCGTGTTGCCGTGCAATGTGGAACCGTCACAAATCACTCCTGGAATAGGCCCCGGTAAATTTGAAGAGTTGCGTGTGGGTCATAACACCGCTGTCTTAAATTGGTGCAATTGATCGTCAAAAATTTGGAAACTTCTTTACTGCCACACCGAACGCATGACATCAACAGTCACTTTTGACGTGAACATCTGCTAGGAAAACCGGCGAGGGCCAACTCACACTTCCGCGCAGAGCAGTAACCCCCGTCATGAAGCGTGCGGTATGCACCCTCTGGAACGTGCTGCATTTTAACTTTACCGTCGCTCTACGTGATGCCGGACAGCCTCCTGAAGGCGTTTTATCGCTGGGCTGCCCGGTATGCGCCGCTGCTGCTGGAAGCCCCTTACGAGCTGATTATTCTCCCGCCTGGCGGGTCCTCCCATGTGGTTAGCGACGGCGGCGTGCCTCGTCGCGGTTATGTTCTGACCTATGGCTGTCCTTCCTGACACCGGTCGTGATCGGTCTTCCCCAGTTCGTCGACGACGCTTGTCCGATACGCACTGCCTTGTCCCCGCTTACCGGTCATGTCGTTCCCTGCAGACATTGCGGTGGGCGCCCCCTACGAGGAGGATCAGCGTGGCGCCATCTACATCTACCTGGGCGGCGCCAGCGGGCTCAGCCCGACCCACAGCCAGAAGATCCTGGCCTCGGAGCTGAGCGGCGCTCTTCGGGGCTTCGGCGTCAGCATCTCGCACGGAGCCGATATGGATGGCAACCAGTACTCAGGTAGAATGAGGCGTGCGACCCGGGACGGCTGGCAATCGACAGCATCGGTGCGTGCCAAACCCTGCGCTATGCCACGTCGAGGACCAGTAGCGCGACGGCCGCAGCGTTCTGAGCGACTGGTCTATATCAGATGAAGGCCCAGCCAACGCTTTGTGGCCCACTTTTTCTGATGTAAGCCCCTTGTTCTGTGGCCCTGACCACGCCCGGATGTGACTCTGACCGCGTCCGGCTGTGGCTCTGACTGCACCCGGCTGTGACTCTGACCGCGTTCGGATGTGACTGACCGCGTCCGGCTGTGGCTCTGACCGCGTCCGGCTGTGGCTCTGGCCGCGTCCGGCTGTGGCTCTGACCGCGCCCTATCTTCGGTCAGACGTGGCGGTCGGCTCTTACCTGAGCGGTGAGGCGGTGCTGCTGCGCGCCCACCCTGTGCTGCGCTTTCACGCCCACCTCCGGCCCAGCACGGACAAGCTGCAGCCGGCCGACAAACAGTTCCAGGTCCGCGCCTGCCTCAAGTACTTCGGCCGCCACCTGCCCGACACCGTCCGTGAGTCGGCTGCCCTCGCGCCAGACAAGCGCGCCTGTCCGGGCGGGGCGGTTTGACCGGGGTGGGATTATGGAGTATGACCGGAGCGGCGCATCAGGCCCAGAGCGCTGGGCATACAGCCCGTGCCGGGGCCTTGGGGATGAGCGTGGCGCCATCTATATCTGTCTGGGCGGTGCCGGCGGGCTCAGTGCGACCCACAGCCGGGAACCCATTACTCACAGCCTGGGAAGCGCTGGAACCCATGGGAGCTATATATATTCACAGCTCATTGCATATGCACAGCTCATTGCTCTGACGTCGTGCACGCAGCGACGCCCGGCTTAATGTCGTGGGACTCCGCTGTTTGCTTCTGCGCGACAGGACAAGATGATGTTTGTGGATGACAAATCTAGCCCCACTCATTGAATCAACGGACAGTACTCTGACGTGGTGTACTGAAAGACGCGTGGAACACATGTCAAGACGTTTCGACTTCGTTACGTAGGGCGCGCCTACATGTACATGTCAACAAACTTCTTTAAGCATGTGTTACGTATTAAACGCGCGCGAGGGCGTAAAAGAATAGACGTAGGTATCATGGTCATGTGAGGCGTGTAGCTTTGGCCCCCTCCCTCCCGTTTGCCTGTGCATATGACGCCTAATGTAAGTTTTTGTACCAAAAACCTTTGAATCATTTCACAAGTGGATAAGCCTTTCATTCCATGGAGAGTAAGAGGTCGCGGTGATGTATACGTGTTTTCCGTATAGCACGCACGACAGAAACTTTCCTCGAGCGGCCGCATCGTTCTTAGTAGTACTGAGAAACCACCGATTAACGATGCATGTTTAAGAAAGTATCAGTATTGTGAACGTACAGATGGCTGTAGTGTTTAAGCATGCCAACTTTCCAAATATTGACGCCTAAGACGCTTTTCGATCGGCGATGCAGGCATTAACTGAATTTGCGTTGCATCAGTCTCTGAGTGGTTTTGGTCTTGTAACCTTCTCCAGCGTATCGCATTGGGTTTGCTTGGAGCCCCTCTAACTCGTCGGACCAGCTTGGTGCAACAGAACTGGAGAGGGCTTTGCAGTTTGGCAATGCACCGCCCGTCAGCCACAGGCCGAGCCGTTTGTCTTAGTCGAGGTGCACCCGGCCGTGTGCCAGGCGGCGCCCCGCTTCGGGGAGGGGGGTTGGGGGTTGGGGGGTTGGATGGTGACAGCGGGAGAAGCCTCGCGGCCGCTGGTTGGCTGCAGGGATTCATGCAGCAGAGGTGCGATCACGCGCAGGATTTAGCGTCAAGGGATGGGGCGGATGCCGCACACGTATACTAAATACTCTTTGTTCGACCTCGATTGTTTCAGTTCATGCCATATGCTAAATTGTATAGTTCAGTGTGTTGTGTAGTTCAGTGTTCAGTGTAATCTTTGCCCAAACATCCCTGCGGTATTCTTCCACCCATTATGTCAAAAAAATATGTCTGCATGATGTGCATATTTTCTGGGCTTTGTGCAGCTCGGGTCCATTTTCCTATAACCTAGTTACGCCTTGTGACGACATTGCCCGTATTGGTTTTGAATACTGTGCAAATGTAAGACCATGTATGTCATATGCCCGATTAGACCTTGGCCAGTTATAAATATATAGTCCTGGCTTCGCACAACCGCTGCTCGCTCATGCTGCTCGCAGAATTAGACACATAGTGTGCGGGTGTTAATCCTCAGCTCTGAATCGAGGGATATCCCATTACCTGACCATTCCACATAAAAAAATACGGACGTAGTGTTTTTTAAATCAACGCGACCACCGCATTGTCTAGCTGAATCGTGCAACGGAGACGTTTGAGTCAAATTTTACCTGAACTGACCTACTGTCTGAACTGCCCTACCGTCGAAACTGGCGTACCGTCTGAACTAACCTACTGTCTGAACTGACCTACTGTGTTTTGCTTATGCTCTACAGCGGCCAGCATCCTTATGAAGGTTGAGTCACGTCACGTGGTTTGTGCCTTTGATGTACCAGGAGGGGCACGTGACAACTTCACCTACGTCCGTCAGCTGTCGTTTGAGAGCTATACCTGCGATGACTTCACCGTTCTGATCAAGGTAAAGACGGAGCTATGTTTCTGTTAGCTCTAAAGGCTACCTCCGAAGCGACTCCCAAGTCCGCCCTGATAAATCAGTCGCTAAGAGCGCCTGTCTCCCGACTGGCCCACGCGTGGCACTGTGGGGTTGAGCCAATGTAGGTGCCCGCGTTTCACCTCTCACTGGGATGGTCGGCGGCCGCTGACAGCGACCGCACTTTAAGGTCAGGTGACGTCAGAGGACTTAGCGTTGCGACACTTTTGGACTTCGCCGCAAACGTCTGCAGGAATCCGAATATCACGACCGGATGATGCGGTTGGTACCCACGCAGCCAACATTGCTTAGCGTGGGCGCTGATCCCAGAAATCCATTTTCATCAAACAATTTGAACATTTTTTTGTGCTTTTAAACTGGGATGCCCCAGTCCGTACTTCGTCAAGAAAAAGCTCGATGCACCAATTATCGAAGGAAGGGCAAGGCTTGGTCAAATCCATCACCACGCTATCACATATCCTTAACAAATAATCTTACCCAGCCTGAAGTAACTCGTATGATTTTCTGCTATATGTTCCTTGCAGTCCCTCTATGCGGAATATCTTGTGATCTAGGCGGTCAAGCCGTGTCCGTGTTATGGCGGCGCTGGCCGGCTGCTGCGGTTATCAGTGTCGCCGCCTGAGGCTGACTCCAGCAGGCGGCACCGACCACAGGCGCGAGCGTGCCTTGAGCCCTCACCCCATGGCCGACGGCGCTGTCTGGCCGCTGTGGTCATCAGTGTCGCCGCCTGAGGCTGACTGCAGCGGGCGACACCGACCACAGGCGCCATCGATGGTCGGTGTTTCGCTCTTCGCTCATCGATTTCTTCGGGCGATGCCTTGAGCGGCATTGCTCGAGGCGTGCGCGCCTCGAGCCCGCACCCACGGCCGCAACACGCCACTGCGCTGCGCTCAACACATCACGCCACTGCGCTGCGCTCAACACATCACGCCACTGCGCTCTGAGGCCGCGCCATGTCGCCGGGCCTGCCTCTTCATCATGTGTGCGCTGGTTTTCGAGGCGGCCGTCGGTCCATCGGCCGGGCGGCAGACGGTTGAGCGCCGCCCCGCACTGCCCGCAGTCGGAGAGCTATGACTTCAGCCAGCCGATACAGCTGAGCATGAGCTACGGCGTCTCGCCCAGCGACCCGGCCGTGGCCGGTCACACCCACCCGGCGGCGCCCGTCCTCATCGCCACCGACGTCTCCAAGCGCGCCGTCCGCAGAGGTCGCCGGCAAGGTCAGTCGCGGGGGTCACAATGCTAGCCTTCCGTCCGTAGAGGTAACGGCTTCGACTCGGCGTTCGCATGCATCCGAAGCCCATCGTGGGCGGTCTCGCGATCAGCTCTCCGTCCGTGGAAAGTGTACCCTGTATCTGAAGCTGATGCGCCTGTAGTGCACGAAACATATATTGACAGGAAGAACAGGACATATACAAACGGTGTCTCACATGGCAAGACTAGTTTCTCACGAAAGTTTTAATAAAGGCAACTATTGCACGCACGTCCTAGAGGAGCTGCTGTGCCTCGGCCCAGAACAGCTCCGGGTAGTCGATCCTCAGCTGGGCGTACTCGGGGATCTGCGTCGGCGCCACGGGCAGGTGCGCCGCCTCCGGCTTGAAGCCACCCTCGTCGGCCACGTACGACACTTGGTACGTCTGGCCGTCATCACTGACGAACTGGAAGCTGCCCTGCTGGCTGAGACTGCCGGTGCCCGGCTCCGGGCCGGGGAACACGCGGCCCGTCTCGCTGACGATCTGGCCGTTGTCCTGGTCGTACCCGTACTCGTAGTTGCCCTGCGGGTCCTGCTCGAACCGTTGGCTCACGATGCGCACCTGAGGCTGGCTTCCTGGGAAGTTCTGCTGGAACCCCTGGGGGGCGGCGGCGGCCACAGCCAGCACGGCGGCAAACACAATCTGAAACACACACAGGGGAACACGGTCAGCCTTACGATTGCTGTGATGACGTTTGCATGGGTTAACCTTCGATTTGTTTCTTATAATTAATAGTCGTCCGTCAGAAGGCTTTATTCTTTCTTTCTACCATTAAGATTGTACACGTCTACTACCAGAAGCCCACTCACGAGAGTCATGACAGTATGCTGTGGTACTGGGTGTGTGAGTTGACACCGGCAGGCCTCTGCTGATGAAGTGACGAATCGATGGCCGTGCCGGACTTTATACGGGCTGTCACAGGAACGGCCGGTAGGTCTGTAGTCGACTGCCTCGGAGCAGACGGTGTTGCAACGGTTCGCGACTTGTGGCTGGTCAGGGCGCGGTGACGTAAAATGACAAGCCTTTGGGGTGATGACATCGAATTCGCAGCTATGTCGCATCGTACGTACATGACGATCCGAATCAGTCCGTGTCCTTACCACGCGGCATCGGATTCCGTGCACGTAGGGCTGGGCGTGGTTTACGTGACGGTCCGCGCCGCTCGTAATGCAAGGCGGCTCAGAATTGTTAGCGTCCATCACACCCCTAGGCATCAGCTGTTCGTCTCCGAACTGTCACTAGAAATCTCTCTGATCTCACCGGCCGCTTCAGGTCACCTACATGCAAGCTGATGGATTTATTTCCGTATGGTGGACCACGGGTTGTTACCAAAGCCAATTGCCAACAGCATTGTGGTCTCTGGTGTGAGGATTAAGATGACCACAGTTCTTAGCAGTCAAAGATCACGTACAGTCGGGATATTTCACCTCAGATCGACGTTACCTAAATAGCTACACGCAATCCGGTTAGCTCTTTGCAATTAAGAAAGGCTTTGCGCTCCCGATTTTAGTGCATAGACGCCAATTTTGGTAATAGTGTTTTCCATGAGAGTTGGCCGACTCTCGTGAGACGGCGATTCGTTAGGAACTTGTTTAGCAGTTCGATGTATTTTCCGCAAAGCAGGCGGTGCTACTGACATCATTTTCGGTGCATTCAGCGCATTTGTCTGAATCCACGCCTCGACTGGTTGAAACCATGCCCAGACCTGGAGCAGTCAGGGTAGCAGCTCTACACAACCAGCACGTCTTCGGATCGGCACTAGTCACCGTCACCTGGGGGCAGTAGGTCACGTGTACCTGTGCATAGACCACGTATCCGCCCGCCCTTGGCATTTCTAAGATTTAAATAACAGTCCGGCGACAAGACGCGTCAAGAATTGATATACTCGAATTATTTATATATGCATAATAATAAGACGCGAATGAGGTGCGTCAAGAATCAAGGGCGCGTCAAGAATTGATATCCTGTTCAAACCACTGGCAATGCGCAGGGCGTTGGCCGGCCGCGGTTTAAGAGCAGTTCAAAGACCGGGCTCGAATACAAAGCACCTGGGGTGTAAACAGAGCGAATCAGTTTCATGAAATCCCCGCGGGCATTTATTCCAAACTGGTGCAACTGGGCACTGTTGCCAAGCTGTACGCAAGAAGTAAGTATTTGATGAGGCCTTAGTGCATTATTGTTGCAGTCTTAAGTTAATTTAACGCCACGATTTTGTCCGTCGAAATAATCAAGCTGATCGTCAGCCAACTTACAAGCAATCATTGATGTAGTTGTACACACGTGTGGTTCCAATCGCAAAAATTCTGCTGTCGTCTCATCTCAAATCTACATACCCTTGCTATTGCTGCACACAGTTGTGCAAAAAAAAAACTCACCAATCTCTGCGGTAAACGTCGCCTTCATGACAAGCCATAGCAACTGAAATAATCGTCGCAAACTGTCCCTATCAGATTTAGAACAATGGGCTCATCGTGACGTGGTTGTTTTAAAGAGCAACCAGTGTCGCCGCCAGTTTGACGTTCAGATGTGTTTATTTCCGAAAACACTGTTTTATTGTGTTTTGAAAACAGGTAACTGTACATATGCTCGTGCCGATCATTTTGCATGATGAATTACGCTATGAATTATGTGACAAGCATATAGCCAGCATGGAGTACGTTGTAAGGGTGTTATGTATACCCTATCCCAAACTCAATCCTGTATCATATGGGATAAAGAGTTGTGCTTGAGATTACGTTGTGAATGAAGCAGCATGGGTCACGTGCAGTGCCACGTGCAGTCAGTTTTGGAAGGCGGGCCCAACAAGGTGCGTGTTATGGATGGTAAAGTCAAACACACAAATCAATTAAATACGCGAAGCAAGGTAACATAAAACAAAAACACAAGATAGAACGAGGTTATCACCGCGTTTTACGGACAAGTTTGCTTCGTTGGATATTGATATTATGCCTCATCGTCTTGCAACAGGTTGAACCCTCGTCATGCAGGTTTTCTGGCTAAGAAGTTCAATGCATTAGAACTATTTCTTCGGAATAGGATTGACTCGTTGGACTGGTGTGGAGCAGATTTTTGGGAGAGGAGATGCATATGATGACGTAAAATCTTGTGATAAGACAGCACTAATCAGGCTCTTTCTCGTATAATAACCACAAGAATGGAAAGATAGATATAATGATGTTTCGGCTACATCTCTTTGTCAAAACGAATATCAGTAGTAAATTACGTGAAATCTTAAAATATTGAAGCATAAAATTCAGCGTCGTGCGACTTACACCGCGAGTTCTGGTGAACCTGCCAGCATAAACGTCTTTAATGTTGGTGGAGAGCCGCAAAGGAGAGTAATTAAATGATCTTCGGCCGGATGTTCAATCCTATCATGAAGTGAAGCAATTGTCTTAAGCATGCTAATGCCTCATTTGGCAATCAAAAATGACGAGGCCAAAATGAGCGTGATGATAGCAGAGGTCATAATTTCTTCACATTTTTGGCCTGCTTATTCTTTAGTGAATGTAAGCTATTTTTTGCAATTATGCTAACAACGCCATGGTCCCTTCACTATCTAAAAAGACGTTCAGCTCTTTCGTTCACATTCCACTGAACAGAGTCCTTAGATTTTTCCTTTCCCCTTTATGTGCGTAATGTGCGATGTGGCGGCCTATTTGACATTTGTATTTTGCTGGCATGCCCGATGTTACCGTAAAAAGAAAAATTCCTCCTGCGTCAAGGCTCACGTGGTACAGTAGTCTCCGTCAAATGACGAATGTGAAATGTTGATTAATGCAGAAAATGTGTGAATCTCGAGAGCACGATGAGGCACACGGAGACTTGCAACCAATGATGAGGTCAAATTGGTCACGGTGTCAGTTCTCCATCTGCGGAGGTCAAGTAGGTAGGTATGGGCTCAGACCCTAGGGAGCAGGCAGGAAGAGGGCGGCCGCACAGAGCAGGTAGTCGATTCCAGGGCAAATACCTTATGAGGCCATCCGTTCATTGTGTGTGGTGGCAGTGAGAGGTTTGCCTGTATGAGGCGGAACAGTGTACCCTGCGTCTGAAGCTGATGCGCCTGTAGTGCACGAAAAATGTATTGAGCAAGAGCAACAGGACATATACAAACGGTGTCTCACATGGCAAGACTAGTTTCTCACGAAAGTTTTAATAAAGGCAACTATTGCACGCACGTCCTAGAGGAGCTGCTGTGCCTCGGCCCAGAACAGCTCCGGGTGGTCGATCCTCAGCTGGGCGTACTCGGGGATCTGCGTCGGCGCCACGGGCAGGTGCGCCGCCTCCGGCTTGAAGCCACCCTCGTCGGCCACGTACGACACTTGGTACGTCTGGCCGTCATCACTGACGAACTGGAAGCTGCCCTGCTGGCTGAGACTGCCGGTGCCCGGCTCCGGGCCGGGGAACACGCGGCCCGTCTCGCTGACGATCTGGCCGTTGTCCTGGTCGTACCCGTACTCGTAGTTGCCCTGCGGGTCCTGCTCGAACCGCTGGCTCAAGATGCGCACCTGAGGCTGGCTTCCTGGGAAGTTCTGCTGGAACCCCTGGGGGGCGGCGGCGGCCACAGCCAGCACGGCGGCAAACACAATCTGAAACACACACAGGGGAACACGGTCAGCCTTACGATTGCTGTGATGACGTTTGCATGGGTTGACCTTCGATTTGTTTCTTATAATTAATAGTCGTCCGTCAGAAGGCTTTATTCTTTCTTTCTACCATTAAGATTGTACACGTCTACTACCAGAAGCCCACTCACGAGAGTCATGACAGTATGCTGTGGTACTGGGTGTGTGAGTTGACACCGGCAGGCCTCTGCTGATGAAGTGACGAATCGATGGCCGTGCCGGACTTTATACGGGCTGTCACAGGAACGGCCGGTGGTCTGCAGTCGACTGCCTCGGAGCAGACGGTGTTGCAACGGTTCGCGACTTGTGGTTGGTCAGAGTGGGTGACGTAAAATGACAGGCTTTTGAGGTGATGACACCGAAATCGCAGCTATGTCGCATCGTAGGCACATGGCGACCCGAAAGTAAAGGAATTGTCTTTGGCATGTCAATAGTGCATGTGGCACTGAAAAAATGAACGAACTGAAAATGGAATTGATTATAGCCGAAATATTTTGTTCCATGTTTGATTTGTACATAGTTTCAGGGCGATGCGATCATCGACTTTTTTAAGGATCTTTCCTTGCTTACAATAAGATCAGTATCATCGCCCTGTGTCATCTTGCACTAAGCAGCGTTCCTAAATATTTTTATGCTTCCCCGCTCCATTGCGGGATTTGGCTGAATATTTTGCATTGGTTGTATGCTAGCAGTTCCAACATTACCGTAAAGAGCGAAATGCCATCTTCGCGAGAACTCACTCGGTGCAGCGCGTGTCACCAGTCTCGAAGGTGAATATTGGTTATTGCAGAATAATTGTGATTCTCGAGCGCGCAATAAAACTCGCGGAGACTTGCGACCAGGCATAGGGTCGGATCGGCAACGACTGGCATGACCAGACGCCGGTGCGTGCCAGTCGTCTGAGGCGATTGTCAGCTTCTCCGGCTTCTGGCCGGCTTCTGGCTTCTTGCTATGCGCTTTGGGCTTAACGTATTTCAACGATTCCAAACTCTGCTCAAAATAAAATGTTGCATTTTATTCGATGATAAATACAAGTCTGAGCAAAGTCAGGCATTTAATTCTCGTAGACGAGGAAGGTGACATTATAAACACTTAAAGCATTACTGTTCTTTCAATGTTAGTCGCGAAATTAATGCACTTGGAGGAGATCGATGTGACGGCAAAGGAGCGCGACGCGCGTCGTCACGCCCCTTACATGGGGCGCCAGCCGCTGCATTGAACGCATTAGCACTCGGGAGCCATGGCACAACAAAGGTTCGACCCTGGGTCGTTACGTGGGAGGCCATGGCACTGACTGCTCGACCATTACGCCCCCTGACAACCAACGAGAGAACTAGTGTGAAATGGAGCAGTCAGCCATCAGTTCGTGAACATCAATTTAAAAAGATATCCTCATAAAACAAAAAAGATATACCATTTTGCCCATTGCCCTCCCCAGCACCTCAAATGACACCATCTGCGTTCTCTCCCTGAAATGTTTATTGTGTCGCCGAAGTACATGGCGAAGAGCATCACGTGTCATCAGGACTTTATTTCTCGCGGCAGCCGGAAACCTAGGTAGCAAGCCGCTTAAACAGCGGTGTTATTCATGGCTTATTAAGACATGTGTAACCATAGATGGTGCTGCCTCCGTCTCTGCAGCACCGCCCCAATTGGGACGCTTCTTGTCGAGAGATAGCACAAAAATACCTAAGACCTAAAATGTAAACGGGCCTTATCATGAGCCGATGCCTTGCCAATATGTAATGGCAATTCCCTTAACCTAAGATGCGAACGAACCTTATCAAGGTTCATTGATTCGGTTGTGTATGATTATGGCACGCTGGCACTGCCGAGGTGCGGAGTCAGCGACCGGGCCCGGCCGGCCTCTATGCGGGCCACGTGTTCGTGCCGAGCGGGCCATTTCTGCAACGTGAGGTGTGAGACTCCGTGAATTCATCTCTCAAGGAAGCGATTTCTACGTTGTCTGAGTCGTCAGCTTCATTGCGCTGAGATAATCACTTAAGCCTTCATGAAGAGGCAGACTCAGCCCTGACAGCAGCTGTCATCATCGCTCAGATTCTTATGGAAAGTTGTTCTTTAGGTTATCTGACGATGGATTAGGAGGTCTGGTCCGCGCGTTTGGGTTATCAGGCGCTCTGAAACAGGTTTCGCAATTCGCACCTCGATCACAGCAACACTGAGTGAGCTATACCACTTGGGATGTGGGACAAGGCACTGCATGACCATCCGTGTTAGTCTGTGCATATTTCTTACGGAAACAACCAGAGCATTAGCAAATCATTGTCAATGATCTGTCCGCTGTGCTGCGCGGAAGGCGGTGCGCGACATCATTCCTTTCAGCGCGTATATTTCCCTGTAATGTTCATGGGTTTAGTATTAAATGCCGAAAACTCGGTCGGAGTTGTACTCCGCTGTCCTTGCGGTGGGCCCGTGATAAACTGGCGTTAAATCAACGAGTCAAAGGTCTGTGCATATAACTTCTCATGAGCTTCATTTCGATCGCGTAACCCCGTAACCATGTTTGGTGTGGACTGCCACGACGTGACGGCAAAAGTGCGCAGCGCGGATCATTGTAGTTTTTCTAACTATAACGAACTGAAGGCCTGATTTTGATGTACTTTTGGGACATTCCACCGCAAGCGAAGTGCTGCAATGAGACCAAAAAAGAAAAATGTTCTTGAACAATCTTACGATGAAAATGCATGAGTGTAGTTAACAGGTTGTCTTATTCTTTTAACCTAATTGTACCATTTTTACGTGGTCTAAAACAACAAGGACCGAGTTATAGCCTCGGGAGTGCTACCCGGTCGTTGCGGCATGCGGAGCTTTAAGCTGTATAGCTTAACCCTTATCATGGTAGTCGCTGCGCCGGGGCTTTAAGCTGTATAGCTTAACCCTCATCGTGGTAGTCGCTGCGCCGGAGCTTTAAGCTGTATAGCTTAACCCTCATCGTGGTAGTCGCTGCGCCGGAGCTTTAAGCTGTATAGCTTAACCCTCATCGTGGTAGTCGCTGCGCCGGGACTTTAAGCTGTATAGCTTTTAACCCTCATCGTGGTAGTCGCTGCGCCGGGGCTTTAAGCTGTATAGCTTAACCCTCACCGTGGTAGTCGCTGCGCCGGAGCTTTAAGCTGTATAGCTTAACCCTCACCGTGGTAGTCGCTGCGCCGGAGCTTTAAGCTGTATAGCTTAACCCTCACCGTGGTAGTCGCTGCGCCGGAGCTTCAAGCTGTATAGCTTAACCCTCACCCTGGTAGTCGCTGCACCACCCTCGCGCCCAGGTTTCCTGAGGATACCTCTTCGGCATGGTGTGTAATCTCACCGAATTTTAGACATTTTCTGGGGTATTCATTATGCGTGTTTTGACATAAAAAGTGGCCCTAGCTTTTCTAGTCTCTGAAAAGTGATGTCGTTTTAGGAACACTGAACAGCGATCTATGGCTGGAGCGGGCGGCGGGCGCCAAGCGTCGACACCGCGGTCCGTACCTGACGGACCGGCACTGTTGCATTAATGGAGCTCTCCATCATAAATGTATGCTCAAAACACATGCAACGACGTACCATTGTGCTCAGGTGAAAGCAGGAACAGGCCTGTTTAAGTCAATGTTAGTACGTGGCATGGGCTCGTACATATGAGCATGTTAACCTGAAAAATTCGATTTTCAGGAAAATTTGTCCTTTGATCTGGCCGCTTTTAAATAGTCGTGTGACCTTGTTGAAAGCAATCCAACACCTTTTCCGCGAGGGTTTTATCTTTTTAGTCTTAAAACGGCACGGGTCGTATCGATGCCCCCACCCTTTATCAGACGCATTACAAAAAAAGACGAAACAGGGCGATGATAGAAGATGGAGGAGCTCTTAAATGCTCATTGGTTAATGGGATAATATCAGCAAGCTTACGAATAAGCGCAGAGGTGTTAATTTCACCACATTTTGCTCTGGCTGGTGTCTTGGAAAGTAGCACCAAAGAGCAGGGTCCACCGCCATACGGTTTATCGTTTACTGCTGACGCCTGTCCCCATTTAAAAGGCGAACATTCCGTCGATTGGTGACAATAATTCCGTCAATTGGTGGCAGTCATTCCGTCGATTAATGACAGTCATTCTGTCGATTGGTGACAGCCGTTCTGTAGATAAGGGACAATCGTTCCGTCGATTAGTGACTGCCGTTCCGTCGATCAGTGACAGTCATTCCGTTGATTAGTGACAGTCATTCCGTTGATTAGTGATAGTCATTCCTTTGATTGGCGACAGTCATTCCGTCGATTAATGGCTGTCATTCCGTTGACCAGTAGCAGCTGTTCCGTGGATAAGTCACAGTCGTTCCGTCGATTAATGACAGACATTCCGTCCATTATTGACACCCGCTTTGTGTGCCCTTCAGTGAACAGCATGGAGGAACTCGATGTAATTAACATCACTCGTAATCCTCCAAACTCTTTTTTCGTGAAAGTGATATAATAGAATGCAAGTAACACGTAAACAGTAAACGTAACGCAAATAAACTGCTTCCTGACCCATTTTGTTACACTGCTCAGACTTGATTCATTGCGCAGGACGCGTTTTATCAGTATCACGATGCATTTAGTGGATTTGAGTCACCCTTGTCAATTCATTCACATAGGAATTATGATGGCCCGACACGTGGTCCGCATTATAACGACTCAAGGGGCAAACAAGAAAGTGACGTTTAATTGCCGTCGCATGTTTAATGTTGTCAGGGCGCTGCTACATTTCAGTGTGCTCGTACTTAAAAAAGCTGCTTTTCCTTTGCGTAAATCTCAAAATCGTGGTATTTCTTGGTAGAGGAACAGCGGCTTATCTGTCGCTTGAAAGTGAGGAAGCGGCTATATTCTGTTGAGTACTGTGTGACGTAGAAGCATGCATATATACCTTGACAGCAACTCAATGAGAGTAAAGTGATCTATGCATATAAGATGCAGATAAAGTCTTGATGACAAAACGTTTATTTAACAAACACCACACAACCTTCGCAAACCTCATCACATTGCGTGAAAGACATTGAGAAAGATAGTTTCTTATAGATACATAGAGCATAGATAGAAAACTGTTGCATGCCAGTCCTACAGAAGCTGCTGTCCCTCCACCCAGAACAACTCCGGGTAGTCGATCCTCAGCTGGGCGTACTCGGGGATCTGCGTCGGCGCCACGGGCAGGTGCGCCGCCTCCGGCTTGAAGCCACCCTCGTCGGCCACGTACGACACTTGGTACGTCTGGCCGTCATCACTGACGAACTGGAAGCTGCCCTGCTGGCTGAGACTGCCGGTGCCCGGCTCCGGGCCGGGGAACACGCGGCCCGTCTCGCTGACGATCTGGCCGTTGTCCTGGTCGTAGCCGTACTCGTAGTTGCCCTGCGGGTCCTGCTCGAACCGTTGGCTCACGATGCGCACCTGAGGCTGGCTTCCTGGGAAGTTCTGCTGGAACCCCTGGGGGGCGGCGGCGGCCACAGCCAGCACGGCGGCAAACACAATCTGAAACACACACAGGGGAACAGGGTCAACTTTGCTTTCATTGTGGTGTCGGTCATCGTCGATGCTGCTGAATGTGCCGTGCTATCTGATAGCAAGGTAAATGTGACACTGGTTCGCAAGCCGCCGGCCTCTGCCTGGCATTGGCGCATGTGTTAGCGGTGCGCCAGCTCACCTGGTTCATGTCAGCGTTCTGTGGAACTCGCTCAGGCTAACACCGGTGGAGTGACGAACTGGCGGCCGGCTGACGCT